ATCCAGACAAGAAACCCTGGGCTCCTGGCACCCAGGACACACTCACATCACAACAGTAACACAGCATCTGTTTTTCCTCCAGAAGGTGCAGAGCATAGAAGCCACATACCTAGGCTGTTCATGTGCCACTTTCCCCAGGGTAACAGAGAGGGTAGCCAAATTGTAACACATTTTTACTGAATACCAGAGAAAAACCTGGGCTGTGCAGAATTTCTTGGCTGAGCAGCTTCCAGAGCTCAGCGTCTGCTTTTCATTAACTCTCCTGCTGTCACTCCTTCCAGAGGCACTCTGCATTTCAGCCTCCAGGCCAGCTCTCCTCCTTTACATTCCTGGACACCTCTGGCAATGGCACATGCTGTGCTGGCAGTGTGAGCACTTTGTGAGCCTGCAGAGAGGAGCAAGACCAGCAATACTGCTGCAGGAGAAAGGAAACATGCTCCTTTGAGCGCTCCATCAAGTCCTCTCTAAGCTACAGCTGTCCTTGTTAGACCATGTGTAACAAAAGTTCTCAGAAGGGACACGTTTGAAAACTTATGTTTGTAAGTGTCTTGCCTGCTGCAAAGTCAGCCCCTTCACAGGGAGGATGGTCAGACCAAGATCCTGCTCCTCTATACAGACATTTTCTTTTGCTCTTTTTGGCTTTCTCATTTCTGCTCAATATATCTTTAAAAGTCAAAAGTCAAAACTAGCTAGGTCCAAGGTGGACCTGCTCAGAAAGAATACACCTCTCTTGTCCAGAGCCAGAAAAGCAAGTGTCAGACAAAAGATGTGTCCAAAGATGGTTCCTATTCTGTTTTCAGACAAAGAGGGCTTCCAGGAAATTTGAGTGTGGTACCCAGACCAAAAGAACAACTTGCTTATCACCCCTGCAGTAGCAGCAGCCCAGCTGACACCTCCTGTAGCAGTTCCCTGCTGAGCCCTAGAAGATGCTTCCCCCAAAACCACCCCTTGACGGGAGCCAAGGCCCAGCCCCTGCAAGCAGGTCTCTGCAGAGCAAGGCTGAGGTGTGTTCTGGCCAAGCCAGGCCACTCAGTGCTGCTCTGACTCCTCTCCCCGAGGACACAACCTGCCACTGTGCACCTCACCCAGGCTGGCTTCAGGGAAGAGTTCCAGAATCTTCTGCACAGTTCTGCCCCAGCACTCACCTCTCCCTGCAAAGGGGCACAGAGAGATGCATGTCCAAGGACACCCATGTCCAAAATACCCACCCTGCCACATTCTCCCTACAAACAGGCAGAATGGTGCCTTCCCAGCTGCCAGGAAACAAGGCCAGCTCCTCTACAAGCAGAGCATTAACTGTCTGAGATCCAGCCCTGTTTGCCTGGCAACCTCCCTGCTGAGTCGGCTCCAAACACCCAACACTTGGCAGCCCAGCAGGATCCTCCACAGCAGGACAGCCCACAAGGACTGTGCAAACCACAAAAATGGCAAAAGAGCTTCTTTCTGACTCTCCCTCCAAACACACTTGTGACCTCTCCTGTCTCACTGTTCATTTGTCCCCAAAACCAGAGTAACAAGCAGGAGAACAGGATTGTAAAGCAGCTCATTTGAACTCCTACCTCCAACTCCCACACAAATACTTGATTTCAAGCTCACTGGAAAGCCCACATTTGAGGGGCTATTTTCCTTGCACAGGAAGGCTGCTTGCAATGCCAGTGCAGCATTAGTCCCTGCCTCAACTTGTTTGATAGGACAAATAAAAATATTAAGACTGTTAATACTAAAAATGTTTAACTTCTTTCTACTGATCCTCATGAAAATCACTAAGAATGAGCTTCTGTTACAGCATGAATTAGAGAAGCCATCTGGGGATCATACCACAAGTCTCAAGGTGCATCTGTGGTTTGTAGATCACTAGAGCAGTTATCTGGTGTCATCAGGTCTTGACAAGTCTCTGCTGGTACACCCCAAATAGCTGTAACAAGGCTGGGGACTGGAGACAGACAAGGAACACCTTATACTCAAATCAGCAAGATTGAATTCTTGGAGCTTAGCAGAGATGAAGCTTGAGAAGACTTGAATTCAGGAGTGAGCCACTATCACAGGAATTAATGTTGGGCTCCAGTTAGAAGAGAACAGAGACAGAAGCAAATTTCAAAATAATTTCAGCTCAAATTTCAACACAGAACTCTTCCCAATATCCAGGATTTCTTTAAGAAACTGAGCTCATCAACCGTAAATGGTTTAAAAACTGAGCTGGAGATAAATCTCCTTAATTCATGGCAATGCAGTCTAGCTCAGAGCAAACCTGTTGTGTGATTTGAAGAGCTTGAAGTGAGGGTTCCAATCCCCACAACACAGAAAACCCTACAGCAACAAACCCAATTAACACACTCCAAGGGCAGCATCTTGCTCAGGCCATGTTTGCTAGTGGGAACATAACCAAAAGTGAAATTTGTGCCTTGGGGCCTGCATCCTGGTACACTCACACACTTGCACCCTCTCACACTCTCTGGGTGCTTTCTGGGTGTTCCCATAGTAACTGTTCAGGCACAATGCAGTGATGTGACCTTCCTGCGCACACAGCCTTTAATTAAAATCTGTTTGTCCTTGAACAGGCTGCTTTGCAGAGTATCTGACTTATCTAATTAACATCACTGCCCAGTTTGGGACCTAAGCAAACAAGAGGAAGGGAGAGGAAGCTTTTTCTCTGCATCACACTCTGCCAAGCTTTTGCTGCCATGTAAAGGGACATGAGACAATTATTAACAGAGACACAACCCACTTCTGAAACCCACCTGCCCTTCCCACACCCTGAGGGCCCCACAGCCAAGACTAGTTCTGGGAAGCAATTTTGCATGCAGTTCAGTCACTAGAGGCTTAAAAGCACTCAGGAACACAATGCCAGGGGCAGAGAATACATCTGAAGGTCAACAGACAAACTCAACCCCACTAAAACACTACACATACCACACTTCCAAAGGGCATAGCTCAACTGTCCAGATGGAAAGACTAGAAGGGTGACTCAGGCAGAAGAGAGAAATCTGCTGCTCCACTGAGCCAACCTGAACCACCTTGACTAAGTGGCAAAGGGAAAACACTGAGTAAAGAAAGATTCAAGTTACTGCTTCAGGTTCTCCTACAGCAAATGCTTGAGCCCTTCCTTACCTCTTCTTCTGCAGGTTACGTGTTTTCTGAACATAAACCCAGAGCTCCAAGCTCACTGGCAGGAGGAAGCAGGGGGGCTGAGATCTACTTGTAACAAGTTTGCAGACAGGTCTCTCTGTTAAGCCCACAGGGGGGATCCAGGGTTTTGAAGATGTTGATGGCACCTTCATGTCTGCACAACATGCACTGCTCTCCAGTTTTCAATTGCTCTCCAGTTTCCACTGCACCTCCTTGGGCAACGCTGCCAGTAAGTTCCTGGAATCTTGAACTTTGTTTATCTGAGACATTCCTTTTTCTCTCTGTATGCTGCCCTTGAAAGGGAAGGGGAAACGAGCATTGCTTTTGTCTCCACAGACCTAGACAAAGTAATGCCCTCTTTTCTCTAAGAAAAGTAATATCCTTCATCCACTGTTGGTTTCAAGTACCAGATAGGTGACTTCACAGCTGAAATCTTGAAACAAGAGAGCATCCTTCACATATTTGCAGTGCTGCCCAAAGAATAAAAAGGCCCTAGAAAAGTCCATGAGGTGACCAAAGTAGAAGACAAGCAGGTACTGCCTTTCTGACATGGTCTCTTCTCAAAGCACTTTGCCCCTGTGGTTGGATCAGCTACTCCTCGGCTACTCCTGTTGGTGCCTCTTTGCTCCAAAAGCAGAAGGAATTCTTGTCAGGTGAGGAGCTCAGGGTTCCTCCAAAGGAGGGGCATCTTTGGGCAGAAGCACACAGTAGTTTGAAAGACTCCAAAGAGGACTGATCCGTCTGCCACCTGGGAAGGGTTGCAAGTTCCCAAAATGATCCGAGTAGTTCTCACACTGGGGAAAAGCAGGAGAGAGAAGATCCCACAGAGAAAATCCCTGCCTATCCAAACGGGCTCCAAAATATCCCCATCCAAGAAGACACAACCCTCCCTCTACCCTCCAGGTATTAAGTTTCTCCTCTGCTGACACGCAGACAACACGTCTGAGCCTGTACCATCTCAGAAAGCACCTACTATTCATGTCTTAATACCAGAAAAGCAGATTCAGCTCCTCCTGAGCCTGCAAATTACTTCTGACAAGCTGAAGGTGCTGGGCTTGGCCATCTGGTGTAGTGTAGAAAAGAGACACTGCAGAACATGAGCTGCTTTTCTTACTTCCCCAGCTAAGATGCTAAAGCTTGTTAATGCAATTCCCCCCAGTCAGCCTCCTAGCTCACAGCATGACATGTCCCTCACCCTGGCTTTGAACCAAGACATGGGCCAGGGAGCTGAGCACTTGGAGTGACTCCTGAACCTTGCCCTGAATCACTGCAAACCACTCAGATTTACATGTTCCTCCAGACAGGCAGGATTTCTACACATGGGGAGAAGTCACACCCCAGACTCCAGGCCCATCACAAGCAGCAGGAAGGTCTGACAGCCCTCCCAGCTCAAGTCCCAAATCAAACCAAGACTACACCACATATAACAGTGTTTTATTCTGAATTGCATGGAGATGATGGACCATGTCAAGTCTGGCCAGGTAAGAATAAAGTGTTGAAGACACCAGATGAAATCTAGAAAGCAGCATAGTGCTGATGTGTACCCCAAAAAGTCCCAGCATCATGGGGAGCATTAAGCAAGTCCCCCAGCTCCTCTGCACTTTGGGTTCCATACACACCTGTAAAGCAGCAAGGAGGGAGGCTCCCAGAGCACTTGGAGATCCTTTTACAAAAGGTACTTCAGAAAGGGCAAAATAGTTGTTTAAGAAATGACAAAAAATAAAATAAAATAGAACACTATCTTCAAAAGCAGTAGGAGGACAAATATAAAGCCAATGTTTGGCCACAAAGGAGCGAGGCAATCTGCACAGCATTCTGCCAGAGGGAGGAGTGAGCAGCAGAGCGCCGGCAGATCGCTCGGCCCCATCACCGGGACAGCTGCCTGCTTGGAACCCAGGAATGGATGTTGCTTCTGACACTCATATGTGGCAGAAAAGGGTGACCTTACTCCACGAGGTGACAGGAATGAAGAAGTCTCTTCCCAATCCAAAACAGGGGGCAGGGCTACCCTCCCTCCTCCTCAGCTTCTTTAAAGGATAACTGATCTGGAGGCAGAAAAAGCTGAGAACAGGAAGAACAGATACTGCCTTTAACAACCACGTTTCCCAGGGTCATACATCACTGCCAGAGAGCAGCTAATGATGATCTGTAGCACAGACTGCGTTTTGGCTTCGCTTTCAGAGTAAAAATGTTCCTTCACAAAAGGTGCCCAGGCAAAACACACGGAGACTTGCACATCAAATGCTTTCAAGCAACACAGCACTACAGAGAAGGCAGCAAGGGTCCCCGGAGCACTGAGGTTGCCAAGAACACTGCCAAGTAAGAAACAAAGCAAACAGCACAAGGTGTTATCAGTGCCATTGACAATGATCACCATGACTGCTGTCAAAACAGCACTAGAATTAGACTTGGGCGATGATAAAGGTTCCCAGAGGGGGAACACTGCTCATAATGTGTGTTCAGAAGCTTAAAGATACAGTCAGACCTCCCAAAATCCTGCTCTCCCCCAAAATCTTTGTGCCTCCTTTGTCAAGTATTCCAGGAAAATAACAACACACAGACAACAACACCCTTGTCCTCCCCCTGCTAGGCCGGAAAACAGTGCAAACTGCCTGTAGCCAAGAGCTGTCTGCAGGATCACGGGCTGTGCACTGACCTGAGGCTCAGGGCTCAGCTCCTGCAGCCCAGGAGAGACAGCTACAAAAGCCAGAGTAGGACACAGAAACATCCTACCTCTTAGGTCTGCACCTCAGCCTGGCCTCCTTGCCAGGCAGAGAGAAAAAGGAGGCTGCAATGTCTAGCATTTCAACTTGTCTTACACCAACCCTCCCTTCCATGTGTTCAGGGCTGCCTTGTCTGGACAGTCTCACTCACAGCACTTACCTGCTGACAATAAACCCATCAAGTGACTCAGAAAACCACACCACAAGACAGAGCTAGGAGACAGTTTGCTGCTGTCTTAAATATTGTAATTATTAATATTGGCTATTATTAATATTAAATACTAATGATTGCACAAGGCAAGAGAACCTCTTCCTGCCTGCAAGGTGAAACTGTCTTTTAAAAAATGTATATATATAGGTATTTAATTAGTATTAGTGGGGGCAATTGCAAAACTCATTCCCAACTAGAGCTGCTGTAGTTCTACAGTCAGGAATAAAACCCAAGCTTTTAGACAGGAGTTAAGGCAGAAGAAAACCCCATCAAAACCACCAACAGTAGTAACAGAAAAAACAACCCCCTCAATATATCTATTGACATGAATTAATGAAGCAATAGATTTTAGCATCTTACTTGCAACCTGATTGAATCATAATACCAAAAAATATGTAATTTCAGAGGACTGATTACAGGGGCAATTAAACATTTTTTCTATAAAAAAGGATCAGGTGCTCATTGTCAATGTATATTCACTGACTTAACTAACTAAATATGCATTTAAATAATTGACTGGCAGCACATCCTTAAAGAAAGCAATCAAGCTGGGAATTATTCTTATTTAGTCATTTGCTTTCCCAGCTTTTGCACAGCTCCTGGACATGAAAAAAGCAGCTGGTGACTGTGAGCAACCAGGTAACACAGCCAGGTGGGACCTGCTCCAGATCCCCAGGGATGGTTCCCTGCCTGGGGACATGGGGAGGGAGCTCATATCCCACACGTACCAGCTCATCCTTCTCCTGTGCCAAAGCCCATGCTGTGCTTGACAAAGACTGTTTTCACGGGCTTCCCTACAAGAGGGAACCTACTCCAGATCCTCCTGATGCACAGTCCAGATTTATCCGTAGTGACTATACCTGTTTAGCCTTAGGCCAGCACTGCAAGCTGGACCAGACTGATTTTCTCTCCTTGGGGCAGCCTCATAACATGTTTCAGGCAGTTTCTCACTGGCTACTCCTCCCCAAGCAGGGTCCTTCCTCCTCATCAAGCCACACTCTGCTCACAACTGGCTGGGGCTCAAACAATCCTATCACCAGCACACACCAGCTGCCTCTCACTTGCTCCCGAATGACGGGATCCCATCTCCAGGATGAAAACCTTAATCCTAGCTCCCAAATGCACATGCTTGCAACTTCATACCATGGAATATCATCACATTACCACAACAGCAGACCCATCAATCACCCAGTTCCTCCTATTCAATACTCATCCTCCCCTGCACTGCTCACACCTCCGTATCCACACGCCCATTAGCAGCCTGCTCCCTTTTGCAGGGAGGGCACTACTGAAATGACTCAATGAGCTCTCCCCAGGACCAGTTCCACACCGGGCAGCCAGCAGTGCCTCTGCCCTGCCAACAGCTCTCCCTGCAGCACAACCCAGCACTAATCCCCTCCTGACAAAGCACTTCCCACACAGGGCTCCACATCAAACACAGGCTGGCAGGGAAGGGTGACAAGCAAATCAAGATATACGTGAAATCAGCCTGACTCTAACTACTTCTGGTAGTTTGAAACCAGCACACAGAAGCTGGTCTTCTTCCAGCCAATGGAAGACAGAACCTCTGGGGGACTTTGACCTACATGTCACCTTATTAAGTGAGGGGAAGAAATCAAAACCTCTTGCTTTGTTTGGAAAGGAAAGGCCAAAGATGAAACAATGATGCTGCACCCAGTCCTTCCCAGCTTCTGAAGTAGTTCCAAGCCTCTGGGCCAGTTTCCTTCACAGCTCCTGAGCCCTAAGAGGTGCTGCAGAGGCAGCTCTGTGCCACCAGTACACCTGCAGGGAAGGAAGTTCCCACTCCACACACTTTCACTGGTAGCAGTTGTGCAGCAAGTCCTTTTGATGACCCCTAAACCAAAAATAAGAATATATATATACACACACTTTTGCTGCTTGAGAAGTGTTTGTTCAAGCTGGAGCCCCAGGGAGTGCCAAGATGAAGTGGTTCTCACTGCAGTGTTTTGATAAGGGCATGAAATACAGAATCTAGAGGGGAAAACTACAGGAGTTCACGAAGCTGCTTTGTCTGTGTGCTGGCTCTAGATTTCCTCTTCCACTCAGATGGTAGTAGCATCACTGCTCAACAGTAGTCATTTCAGTTAATTGCTATCTACCATTAGCTGCAGAGTACTTACAAGGGATTCAATTCCACTGCATATTTGCTAATAAATACCAAATGACAGTGAGGAAGACAGCTGTATTTAGCTGCATTTACCCTCTTATTAGCAGAGCTGACTAAGACCCCATTTCAATCCATAATAGCTCCAACAAGCTGCCTCACTGTCAGAAATTTGAATTCCAACTCCCCATTCCCTGCATGAAAGCAAAAGTCATCCTGCACTGCCCTGCTTACACAGCTCCCCAGTGGCTGCACACAGCCCTCCATTTGACCACGTGCCACACAGAGAAACCACCTCTGTGGCTTTGACCCATGGGGCCTGTGAGAAATGAAGGCAGATGGGAGCTGTCTGCTGGTTTAGCAGCATCC